TGTGCCCTTTTTCTTTCCATCTCTCTCTTCTGCAGTCTCTGCCTCCCCTGCCTGCCCCGCTCCACCATCCCTTACCACTTACCCTTGCTCCAGCAGCCTTTGCCTAGGGCACAGAGCAAGAGCTTGCTGTCCCCAGCCTGGCTCAGAAGCCATGGCTATAGCATGGCAGCTCTGGCCAGGCCCCATAGCTGGGGCTGGAGCTGCCAGGCCACCACCGCTGCCCCCAGGCTGGGCAGGGGCTGGAGCAGGCATGTGCTTCACCCCAGGCTGGAGTGCAAAGGTAGCCTGCTGGAGCCAGTGTAAGGGTAAGCAGCATGGGATGGGGGTGTGGGAGAGAGATGGGGCAAATGAGGGGAGGCAAGAAGCTTCACAGGGGAAACAGAGGGAAGGGGTGCAAGGGGCCCAAGGCAGCCAGTACTGGGGGAGCAGAGGGGGCCAAGAGACAGGGGTCAAGCAGTTTGACCCTGCCTGCCCTCATCTCCTTCCTCCAACTCATCCTCCACTGTCTGCCCCCCACTGCTTTTCCTGCTTCAGCACAGTGTGTGGGGGGGTGGGGGGGGGGAATGGACAGGCAATGAATTTAAGATGATCCCCCAATTATCATATTCTATACATGGAAAATTATAACAAATGTATATATTTTCCATGTATAGAAACTAATTATTACTGGGTCATCTTGGATTTGGATCAATACAATAATATAGGTAATGTACTGGATCCCCATCTAGTGGCTACTTCAGAAAAGTATGTTTTACACTGTGACTGTAGCGTGTCACAGCTGGAATATTCCCAGGAACACCTCACTCCTTCAATCGCACTTTCACCTCAGAAATGCATCAATGAGGATGTTGGGGAGTGTCCCTTCGAGCTGTTGAACCTCAGTCTCTGGTGTGCTTGAGACAGGCTTCTGGGGTTGAGCCCTGAGCATATTTGTGGCCTTGGAGCATGCAAATCATAGCAGGTGGGTGTGCCATTGTTAAAAACACATTGGCCAAGGCATGCTGCTGCAATGAGGCAGAGATACCCAGAGGGGCTAACAATCCTACTACTGTTGTCAACAGTGGAGGTACTGCTTTCGTTCAAGTAGCAGAGATCTGTGTGTGACTGTAGATGAAGGACTTGGGTTGAGCTCAGTGACAACTCATGCTATGGTCGTCACCATCTCTTTCATGTGTTTGTGCTCGTACTGTAGGAAACATCATTTCATGGATTTCAGGCAGAAGGCACAACACAGGTTAGACCCATAGAGCCATTGGGATTCTTCTGAAAGAGATTACAACTGTAAAGTCCTTTTGCTAACAGTAATTTAGCAGTTTAAAGCTAGAGTCTCAACCCTGGATATGGTGTGGCACAAAGAATTTAGAGCTGCTAATAACTGGGTGTTACGGAATACCTAGAGATGTAAAGCCTGCACAACTATTCCCCTGCTCTGTATGGAGAAGCATTGACAAGATATGGTCTGGGAGAGAACTAAACGGGGATGTAGAAGAACAGGACTAGGGCATTTTGTTTTGATGGCCTTAGGCTGCTGGAAGAGTCTATTCACAATGTGGCTGGTAAGAACCCTAGCTAGCCCCAAAATTGGACTCTTATTCAGTACAGCTGAGAATTAAGCCTTTACTATGTCAATACTCTCCACTCATCTGCACTGTTACATGTAAAACCCAATGCAAATAAAATAAACAGTAGTTTGATCACTGCAGGGGGCACATGAGAGTTTTAGCTTGAAACATCCTGCATGTAGTAAGTCATTCTTCTGTCTAGTCAGAATGAATACGTGTTTATAGTAGGGAACAGATGTTTGGAGTATTTCTGCTTTTAGCACAACTGGCTAGTGGACAAGTTATATACAGAGACAGACAAAAATGTACAAGCAATTAGCTGACTATTACAAATCCTTTACATGTACAAGCTGTTTCATCTTAGTTTTGCATTTCTTCAAAAATTTTTGTTATCAAAAGCAAAAACTACTCAGCCTGGCCCTAGCAAAGGCCCAGGAGCCTATAGAAGCTTGTGCTGAATTCAGGAAAATAGTGAGTGTGTCTATACTGTAGTCAAAGGTATGACAGCAGCTCACATCAAGATACTCAAGCTAGTTTTAAACCTATCTGCTCAGGTACTGCTAGTAGTACAGCTGAAGCAGCAAAAGCCCTTACCATGGGCTAACTATATAGTTATCTGCCTAGAAGGCATCCATAGGAGTTTTGCATTGTTACAGATACACTGCTAAAGCACCTGGGGGCTAGCAGATTTAAAGCTAGTTTGTCTAAGCTATTTGCTTACACTTCTAATCACTGTGTAGGCATACCTAATGCTTATGGAGAGGGACACATATTGGTATGCTAACAGATTAAGCTAAGTTCTATAACTGAAAGATACCTTTGTACAGCTATCTTTTTTACCACGTAATTATTCTTTATGGCAAATACATTAAAAACAATGTAGGAGCTTCAGAAGGAGCCAGGTATCTCCTAAGATCATAGCCCAAGAATGATGAAAAAAGAAGAGGCGAGGAAGGGCAGGCAAGTGGGCCCCTAGGAATGGAAGACTTGCAGAATCCTGAGCAGAGGGGGGAAAATATTGCTAGGTAATGCTGAAGGAAAGAGAGGGTGGGTTATCAGATACTGAGAGAATTCTGTTTCTTGTAGAGGAAACTGGAATAGGAGAGACCAACATCACAGAATCAGGGGAGGCAGGGACCCAATATTATGGTTTTGCCAAGTTTAAAATCTTACCTGCAATATTTCTATGTATTGCCACCCTGGACCACTCTGAAGTCAAGGATGTCAGTCATGGTGAATTGTGCTATATCTGATGGTGGTACTGAGATCTGCATATATTTACTGAAGCCTAGGTGATGCCTCCTTTACATCTACAATCAATATAAGTACTAGTCCACCCGATTAAGTGGGGCAGAATCTTAGCTGAACAGATCAGACCACTATAAGGGTCACTGTAATAATCCACTTCATCTTAAAACACGATCTATAACCATGCCATTTCCTACAGTAAACAAGGCAAAATCTAATTAGTGCTCATATTGGAGATCTGCAAGAAAAAAAAATCAGGTAATGTATTCCATAATACATATAGTCCAGCAAGCTGGACTCCTCCCTCTGACTCATAACTGAACTACCTTCATAACGGGACACTACAGGTACTGGGCTTTTACTTCTTTTGAAGAGCAAAGTCCTGACAATTCATAATTATTTAAGATGGCATGGCAGCTTTCAAAAGAGGAATGGGTGTAAAATTTGGGGATTTTGCCACATTATAGTTTAAGGCATTGGATTTAGTCCACCTAAAATTTTCCTTGTGGTTTCAGTTTAAGTTGTTATTCTCATACCCCATTATTAAAGTTTCCATAGATTTACAAGCACAAAATTATTGTAGAATTCACAGAATTCAACTTAAAAGGAGACTACATTAAAATTAATATTTTTACATGTGCTGTGTATAAAGTACTTTGGTATTCTTCAAACTGCAAAAATGTAAAGTTACTATTTTGTTGTATTATTTGTCTTCAATATTAATGGATATCTTTTGATATTAGGGGGGAAAAACCTTCTAATAGGGTCAACAATTCCAAGAAGTGCTTCTGATGTAGTATATATGCATATCTGAAGGCACTCTATTGACATAAAAATCCCACAAAGGACAGACTTGATAGTCTGTTACCGTACATTATGGTGCATCTCATGTACTTCCATTGAGAACAGCTGCTCTCTACTGACATATTAATGAAAGAATTGTATCCTAGCAGAGTTTTTCATGCTACTTATAGGAGGGTTATAGCATAACAAGTCATGATATTTAATACACTTTCAGTGATACTATTTTCTATATTCCACTGAGATAGACCATAGTTAAAAACGATCTGAACAGAAAAGCAGTTCACTTCAGAAAGACCTTTTTTCTTATATTACCATACAAGTAGTGAACAGCAAAATATACAATGCACTGACAGAATGATTCCAATCCTATTCGTGTACCTAGGAATTACACAGTTCAGCCCCCAGTTTGCCAAAAAAAATAGCACTACCAGAGAGTCTGCCATAAATCTACAAAAGCAAGAAATGTGCAAATACATCTATCATTCCCATCCTCCAATTGTGTGGACAGAGGGAACGTCTGACCGTTTATTTCACATCATCTGCCTTTTGTGAAGTTAATTTAGCCCTTAAACATCAGAAATTGTTTTGTGTTGGAGAAGTTGTATTGCTCCTCTAAAACAGAAAAAATCTACAGTTTCATTAGTCAGCTATGCTTTGTTACTTGTCTATGGATTTTACTATACTATTTCCACAACTGTTTCTTCTTTTTCATTAAATGTAATGATTAAAAATATTACAACTTACAGTTTACTGTGACTTTTACTTTTCTCACATCTGGGACTGAAACATCGTTTTCTGCACTGCATTCATAGTCCCCAGTTTGGTCTCTTGTAATTCCATAGATGTCCAGATATTGACCACTTTCAAAAGGTTTTGCTGAAATGAAAAACCAAAGAATCACAGAGAAGAAATTACAGAAAGTTTAACTGGAGTTGCCCGAAGCCTCATTCAAGTAAAAACAACAAAATCATGACTTTCTACTCAATATTGCTGACAACACTAAGCACTTATTACAGCCTTTATTCTCCCACGTACAGAAAACAATTCTAAGGCAGAAAATGAAAGCTTAACAAGTGATGTTTTAACAATTGCTTCCTCAGGAATGGATACCACATGTACTTATAATTGATTAGAGTTCCCTATCCAGAATGTACAGTAAATAGATCTATGCCCATTTTACAACTGTGTTTAACTATTTCTGGCACTGTATATGCAATTCACCAATACAATTCTATACATGCTGACTTTTACAAACTATAGGTAACATTTGCCTGGGAAACTGGTATGTTTTATATATTTTTCCTGGGGAAAAAAATCACTTAGACTAAAACATCCAATTCAAAACATTTTGGTAATAGCTTTGGCATCTACTCATTTTTAGTTTACCCTTATCTATGTATATACAAGATGCTTACTTTCACAAATTATGAAATAGAAGAAATAAAAAACCAGCCCTGGAATAGCCATTTTTTTCTGCTGAGGACTCCTTGCATTGTGTTAATATATTCACACAATTTTTACCTGAGACGCTCATTTTTACTTCAGTGAACAACTGACATAAAATAAAAACTCAGGAAAGACCCGAACGGTCATCATAACAGACAGTGCTTGATACGAATCTACTTGATGTAAAACCAAGTTAACAAATACTCAGTGGCTGCATCTACATGAGATGCTAACTGTGCAGTAGCCTAATAATAATACTGTGCAGTAGTGCATCACAGTAGTGCATGGACAGTGCTAATATACTACTGAATGGTATTATTAGGCTGCTGAATAGTAGCGTCACTAAAAAGGCGTTTGCCAGTGTTACTGTACAGTAACTCTGGTTCCTATGCATTTATGTAATACTTGATTATACAAGTACTAAATGAAATCTGCAGTAACTACTGCACATTAATGAACATGTAGACATGGCCAGTTATGCATATACATCACTTCCTAGGGAAGTTACTATTCTGAAGATTAAGGATAATTTTGTGATTCAAAATAAAAGACCTCTCTCTTTAAAAAAAGTTGGTGGTTCTGGCACTGAGATGCAGAGACTTTGCCAAGTCCATTTAGCTCTTTGTGCCCCGACTTCCACAACACTTCGTAGGACTATTGCCAGATTTACTGATATTTGGGATCCTTCAGTTAAAAAATACTATATATATTACTAGTATTTTCTCTCTCTTTTTTCATTATGACATAGAACAAATAGAACACTGCACAAAGAAAGCTAAACATTCACAGCATAATATAAAGTATAACAAAAATCATTAATAAAATGTTACCACAGTACTCAATAGTGGTTATAATAAACCACATATTGGAATACATGTGTTTCAGGGTGGGAAGGAATTGCTGGCAGTAGCTATCCACACAGATCCAACACAAGGAAGAACCAAAGGATGTGGTGGTACCTTGTCACACCAAGCTATATACAAGGTATACAACAGCCTAATGGCAAAAAGGAAAATAATTCTGTAGCCTAGTGGTTATGGCACTCAGTTGGAAAGGGGGAAATCCTATGTCCTGGTCAGTTGTCCCAGGATTGTTTTTTGTTGGTTTGCTAATGTAAAATAAATGAAGAGTAGAGGTGTGCAAAACAGGCCATATTCGATTCAGATCACTGTCCCTAATTCAGTTTGGCCAAATCTGAATCTGAAGATTCGATGCTGATTTGGAGAATCAGTGATTCAGCCATAGACACAGCTTTAAACGTTTTTTCAACAAACCTTGAGGTACCAAGCATGGCTTGTGAATGCTACAGTGCTGGGGCAGATGGAGTATCCCACAGGAGCGTGCCCAACCCCCACCGCCCACCCCCCGAGTGCTTGGCAGTGAACCCGGAAGTGGAACAGAAGTACTTCCGTTCCACTTGCAGGTCCACTGGGGAGCGCGCTGGGCCCCCCCTCCCCCAGGTCAGTGATCGACCATGGGAAGACCCTGGGTGACGCCCATATCCAGGAGGGACCAGTCACCAAGCTGGGGTGGCTGCGGGGGGGAGGGGGGCACATGATTCCTGGAGGACCTGGAAGTGCTTCTGGCCCACTTCTGGGCCTGCTGCCAAGCATACTGGGGAGCCCTCCATACTCCTATGGGACACTCCATCTACCCCAGGATCACAGCATTCACAAGCCGCCTGGTGCCTTGAGATATGTAGAAAGAACATTTAAAGCTGTGTCTATATCTGACTTGCCAAATCTTTCCGAATTGATTTGCAGGGCTCCGATTCAATTCAGTGAGATTAAAGGGTCTCCTGATTCAATTCAGATTCAGAGATTTGGCCACCAAATTGGGCCGAATCTTTGCCGAATCGAATTAGGGACCGAAGCTCTGCACAGCCCTAATAAAAACAGTCCACCTACTAGGGACCAGAACCCAGGACTCTTCCCTACTAATTGGAAGAGTCAGGATCCTTCTTTCTTACATTAGGAATAACGGTCAGAACTTGTTAGAGAGACACTTCAGGCTGGACATCAGGGGGCATTACTTTACACTTAGGGCTGCCAGGTTCTGGAATGGACTGCCAAGGGAGGTGGTGCACTCTCCTACCTTGAGGGTCTTCAAGAGGAGGCTGGATAGATATTTGGCTGGGGTGTTATGACCCCAGCACTTGTTCATGCCCGGGGCAGGGGGTCAGACCTGATGATCTGTTTAGGTCCCTTCTGACCCTAAGCACTATGAAACTATGCTTTTGCTCTTGTCCTTGCCCTGTGAATTTTACATTCTTTGCTACAAGTAGTCAAACTTCAATAGGAGGGCTGGAAGGTTTACACCCTGGTGATCAGGGCACCAACCTAGAAG